GTGGAGTGTTGTTGTCTTCTTCTCGGGTACAGCTCCTCCTATTTTCCCTGGATACCGTTTGGACTTGCGTCCTCATGATGACACCGCGATGCAACAGAACGTCCAGGTGAGCCTCTGGTGGTTTGCAAGAAGATTTCCACGATGTTTACATAGGATTCCATCAACACGAGGAAACAGTACAAGAGGACGAAGACTCGGAAGCAAATTATGAATTCAGCGAGATCTCGTGGCGAGTTTAACTAAGAGCAGCTCGAACGTAATATTACTGAGCTTTCATGGGATGCCAACTCCTCGGAGAGCCGTTGGCTGGACACACGTGTTTCGGTCGGCGATGCGATACTTTAGTAGACTTAACTTTATAATGGTTATATATCAGTATTATCATTTTTTCAATTAATAGCCTTAGATTTATATTATACATGATATGAAGATATTATAACGATTACTCAATATTAAGATAGAACATCAATCTCTGACACGTGCACGCTTGTTGTCACTAAAAATGTCAGAGCGAGTCGGGCATCGCATTTAAAACTTGCGGGAAAATTCACTCACTATTTGGGGAAGCGCCTAAAAAGTGTTCGATCCCTTGGATATAGTGTATTGTCTTTCAGGTCCAATCCTGTTGGAGAAGCTGCGGGTCTATCATCTGAGAGCCCTCGTGATTGGATGTCGTTTATTCGTAGAGCATCAGCAGTAGTTGTGATCAGAAGCGTAGCTTATATGTCGTCCTTCTCTCACAGGATGTGATCATCGGGTTTCACTGGAAGCTACTGTTGTCTTGTGTTGCCGATCATTGGTAGACTCTGGACACGCATCTGCTAGCAGTTTCTCCCTTGGGTCAGCGCGCAGACTGTGCACTGTACTATACGGCAAAGTCAATGGGGTTTTCAGTTCCACTTGTCCAGCTCACGAAATTGTTCTGGGCTTTTACTAACTAGTTCTTGAAATGGTGTAGAGTCGTGAGTTATGTCGACGAACTGAACGTGCAGCATGTTAAATGCTCTACGACTGTGAACTCGTGAGAGCTTAGATCATCCATCCAGAGCGCCTCTCGATTCCTGATCTTTTCAAGAAGAATATTCAAAATATTATATTATATTTTCCCTCACTGAGGCGTAACCTTTCTGGGATGCAACTGTGGTTGGTTATTGTTGCGCGCCGCGGAGGATTTTTCGTATCATTTTTCCATATGGGAAAGTTAGCTCGAGAGCGGAGTCAATGCGCCATAATTTCTGATGGATGACCTATGCCGCATAAATAAGCCTATCCGACGGTTGGAATTTGTCAGCTGGGGATGAAGACGCAAGAGAGTTGGCAGCGATAATCGTCCCGGGAGTGGAATACCTGACGGATCGACCTGATACGAGCGCAGTCGTGTAAGCTGGGCACCTCTAAGGAGATGATATCAGTATCGCTGAGATGACTTTTCATCGCTGCCCCCTTCCCTGCGGAATCTCTTGTTCTGCAAGAAGATCATGTTCTTTTACCATCGCCACCGTCATTTTACGTAACTGTATTGTGAGTAATCACGTGTTTCACCTAATTGCTTGTAATAGTTGTTGTGCGTCATGTCTCACAGTCATGAGGGCCCGGGATCGAACCCTAATGCTTGTGTTTCTCCATACGGCAGAATCCATAACTTTATCATCACTTTCAAATGAGCAAGGCGGGTCGAGCGCAGTTTGAGGATGGACACCAGCATCCAACACAGTGTGTGGCAGGGTTGTGAGCTCTCGTACGTTGTGTCTCCCAGGCTTGGTATAATTCCCGAAGAAGAGCCCTTGCCGAATACACCTGAGGGGGAGCTGAAGCCGCAGGCCTCGGAGTCGACGAGGCGAAGAAGTTGCGGTAATTGGTGTGGTGGAATTGGCGAGAAACTCAAAAGCAATCTTCTTAAAGTGCTGCCGGCTTTAACGATCGACTCATCGCAGGAGTATCGTGACCAAGATCAGTTCCGCGTGGAAGGAGCTTTTGTATTCAACAACAGCAGTGATTACAGTCGAGGAACAGAAACATCGCTTTACACGAGGCCCAAGAGCGTCGCATTGGAGAACGGGGATATCCCGGATACGCCACTATATGAGCTGAAGAAGCGGATAAGGAGCATGAGTGGTGAGAAGCACAAAGCGGTCGCTGAGGAAATGCATAAGACGGAAACACGAGAAAGCAGCAATGACGTAACAGATAGAGAGCCTCTGATACACTCACGGAACTAGCCTCGCAATGCATGTCATGCATTGCATGATATAACCTGCTGCGCTTTATTACTTTCAGTGCTGTAGTTTGAAGCCTGTAAATATTTTGTTAAGTCATGGGGCGGAGCGATCACACCTTCCCCATCATTTCTGCGATTCAGCAAAGCAATCAGGGGAGCGTTCCCTTGCTGGCGCTCCTTTGGGGCATACATGGTGCCCCCAGAGGATCAACGGTCTTATATTATGGTCCTGCCGATGGTCAAAGTGTTGATACGTGTAGAAGTACAATTGTGTTTTATATCAACTTCAAGATGGGTTGGCCGTATTATCTGCCGACCTCTAATATCCTCTTGCTCGTACTAGTATTGGGTTATGGAAGTTCTCACGATTACCAATCCCCAAGAAGCATAGAGTAGCACAAACCAACCGCATTGACTAGGCTTGTTACACAGACAAGGCAAATAAAACTTGTGATATTTTCTCGACTGGATACTCCAACGAGAGCAATCTCTGGTTGTGGAGATTCTCATTCACTCTGATTGTGTGGAATTATAAGCTGCATCCTAAGTTCGATCGCCATTTCCTTAGATTTCGACGAAGCTCTACATTCTCTTCTGTGAGGCCTGCCAAAACCATGTACGTCCGAATGTACATTCCCTCACTATTAGGCTAGGCCAGCAAGATACGAAGCTCATGAGAATGAGTAGCGTCACAAGTAGGAATGTGGAGGAGTTCGTATCAGACTCACTCGCTACCGCTATAGCCCTCAGTAGAAGTGGCGGGACAATTTGTCACATCACAACCTCGCACCATTAAAACAATGAGACGTATCGTTGACCAAGCGAGACGTAAAAAGTTGAGTGGTGGTCGAGCGGAGCAATCAGAGCCCGTGTGGAGTCGCTTTGCAATGACAAGGTCGAACTGGCCTCGTTGTGGAGGTTTTCAAACAGTGCTTCATGAGCTCTCTGTGAATTTCGAATCTTCCTAGCCATACTTAAACGCAATACTATATACGAACGTCAAGTCTCTGGGGATGAATATTTTCCCTCAGATGGTGATATTGCAGGAGTAGACTTGAATGTTTACTGCACCAATAAGGGACGTATTTAATCACGCCAATGCTTCCTGATGAGTCACCAGTGATGACTTCTTCGAATTCAATCGACCCACTGGTTCGACTATGGATGACAACCTGAAATCAAATTACACACAAAGGGTAACGACATCGAGAAGTACTGTCACGAACTCACCTGTCCACTTGGAAAAACTAATGTGTAAATTTCGGGTCGTCGAGGCTCCACTGTTGGCCGTTGCGTTCCTTCAACAGAAGATAATATCAGGAAAAAATCTTTGTCACATACCGTTATTCGGGATGACGGATTGAGTGGACTTGGGAATGACTCATTCCCAAGCCCATCACTCAATCTGCTGGCTGCGCTATCCACACGGGGGCCTGAAACATACAACTGCCGACACTCGCCTTCTCACTAGCATACACTCGTTCATAGAAGACATAAGCACATGCAATTCAGGTTCATCGAGACCACCGCCTTGCGGCCGTGGTCGCTTGCTAGACGGAGAGCCGCTCCCACCACTAGGGGACTGAGGGACCGTTGCTGGTTGCTCTGGTGGAGCCGCAGCAACTATGAAGAGGAGCGCTTTGAAAGAGTGGGATCAGACAGCCTACCAGATGGGACCTCGTGGACAATAGTCATTGCCACAGAGGTTCCTGAAGTCCCTAATGATGGATCGAAGGCGACCCGCACACAATTCTCTTGTTCGAGTATCTTGTCCTCAGCCCTGAAACGGAATGTAATATGCCAGCTGGGGCATCTTCCTCACCCCTACGACGTCTACATCATCCGGGAACCTCGCTACAGCGACCAAGTTGACGACTCTATAGACCCCCTTGGTTGGCATGTTCTGCTATGAGATAACGCTGCGCAGCTGTTGCCATCAGATGCCGGATGCACAGCGTTCAAGGGCGGCCGTCAGAAAAGGCACCTCAAAAGCCGGCATTCGAGATTATTTACGTTCATTGCAAACTTGTTGGCCAAATCTTTCAAAGCTGAAAAACAAACAGATCAGATGCACATCCAGATCGACGACCAGAGCCCGGTCCCATATCCACTCAATAGTGGCATGCAGGTACTCACAGCTGCAGATGTAGATTCTACCAGCCGCCTTGCATGGGGCGACATATCCAGCAACAGCTTGTGGATTCGCAGGAGTCGGTGGCGTCCCAACACTAAACGTTATCATCTTATCTCGGCGGTTCTGTTACAAGACTCATAGGCCGGCGGCCTCACTTAAACTTGACATCTGGCGACCTGTTGGAGATCTTCAGCGAGGTCAGTCGATCAGTGCCCAGCTTAGTTTCAATGACCGCCGCCATAGCTACCTCAATCTCAAACACAGCAGCGGCTGCTGCTCCACCCCCGAACCCAGCAGTGTTGCTCATCCTGGACAACCAAACGTCCACCTCGACGTGCCATAAAGGGTGGCGGCATTCCAAATGGCATCCTTCCTGGTCGAGGCATCCCAGCCGTCTAACAAGCAGAACGTAGATGGAGGCCAGCGGCGGTATTCATCTCACGGTCATCCCCATAGGATAGGGCATCATCATTCTGCCCGACGCCACCCCGGCCGGCACAATTCCCGAGTGCGGCGGCATGGACGCAGCAGCTTAACCATCACTCCCGCTGGCTGTGCTACAGAAACTCTTCAAAGGCCGTTGCCGGCCAGCCATGCTCTGATTATATTTTTACGATCCCCTCTGAGCTCAAGCACTCGATCATTGAGCTGTCGAGCCGGAGTCCGACAGATATTTCTAACCTCGGCCTTTATGATCTGAAATAAGAAAAAGAAGACGACACCGAGTGTAGTGTGAGAATAAGAATTGAGGCGCGCGGTAAGTTTATGCAACCATCACTACCTTAAATATCTCCCTTTATCCTTCTAACCTGAGCGGAGGCTTGTGACCGATTATTCCGATAGTGGACATGGTGAATCCTCGCTACTGCGATGCACGTGGCTCATTCGACGAGCGCGAGCCTCTATCGAACCGGGCTAGCTTTGAATAACAGCGCAGTTGTCGCAGACTTGTCATACCACTTATCATGGTGAGGATAACGACCAACACTACTACCACCACCACACATCCCATCCTTCACCACGAAAAGCAGCGAGGAGAGCTTCACCAGAAACGTATTAGGTCGTCTTTCCTGTTCGGAAACGGTCGGTCCGCCGAGCAGCCTGCTGCCTCTCGAGAACTCGCCGGCTCCTGGCCCTCCCTCGAGCATCGAAGTGATGGGCGTATTTAGATCCCTCCCGTGGGGCCTCGGGGGAAGCAACGAAACTGAATCCCGGTATTCCTCATGTAGACGCCTGTTCAGCGGCTTACGGCGATGCTGAGACATGTTGGAAGTAGTTGTTCTTGATCTCATGCAGAGCAACACTCGCGACCATACCCAGATCAGCCTCGGTCAAGTTCATTCGTCCGCCGGCGTCGCTTAGACGCACTCGATTGAACGACTCTAAAGCCACAAGTCGTCCATCACACACGACTGTCGAGATGCTGCTCACTAGGGGGCGTCGCAAGCCCTGCATGCGGCCCTCTGATCAGCAAGGCTATGCCGTTTGTGCTCGGTGAATTAGTCGTGAAAATGTCTCCATCGCCACCAATAAGCGGCCCTTTAGTATCAAGTACTGCGGGGAAGAGCGAGCTCTCCTCGATAAACCTAGTATGGAAATCCCCATAACACGCTGATGGTGATGACCGACCTCTCGAGCCGATCAAGTTTACCATACGAGAAGGGCATGTGCCACAATGCGCCCTAACCCAAGCGCTCATTAGTGGTACAATCAGCTTTTTGCTAGCCTCACCTGACTGCTTCTTATGGCCTTGTGATCAAACGGATCAGCATTCGTTCTTGGCAGGAACCATATTGAATGCCACTTCAACGCGAACGCGGAACGCAATATCGTTCCGAGCTGACCCGCATCGATAACACCATCTAATATCTACACCAAGCCAACAGCCCGTCACATGGTCAGCCTGCAGAGCTGCTTCTCACCAGCAATAGTTTGGTAGTATCAGGAGGTTTCTCCAATGGTTGAGGCATGCGTATAGTCCCCAACATGTTGTGCTGATAGGATCGCATATTGGCGACTCTGAGGGCGAGCTCGGAATATACAGCGGAAAATACGATAGTAATATTAATCATGCTTTGATACGGTGTTCCCTACAACTCCAAATCGACTTCTCGTGGATTTGAAGCCATTTTAAAGTCCTCCTCTCGAGAGATGGATAATATTTTCATTGAAAATATGGTATCGGGAATTAAAACTTTTCTAACCTCTGAATAACACCTTGTCAGCAGCAGCATCCACAGTGATTCGATGAGCATCAGTGAGAGTTAGCACTTTCACAATGCAGTGCATTTTCAACCCCCCCCCCCCATACAACATGCGCTTACCTCCTGAGTATCTTGTCCGATACCACATGATGTGATTCATATCGCAAAGAGCACATGGGGGGAAGCGGCCGATCGGAGACAACCTCTTTGAAGGAGTAACTTCAGCAGCACAACAACAAGAGTAGCATAGATCTCTAGCATGTTCAGTGACTACTTTTCCGCCAACTCGTTGAGCAGCTTCTTGCCCGATACCACACACAGTTTACTCTCCACCCTCCGAGCACTCTCATTCGCTAGTCCTAGTAGCTCTGCCACCAGGGGGTCCGATAGGGATTTGATCACGCGATGCGAGGCCATTGTTGACGATGAGATAATCGAGCCGAGCTGAGCTCAGGGAATTCTCCAGCTTGCGTTAGTTTTAATTGAAATCAACTGCGCAACTTCGAGGATATTCATAGACTTTGAGAGAAATAATAGTAGTGGTACGATCATACAGCTCTCATAGCCTCCCTGAACTCACATTCATCAACATTCGATTATATCAAAACCCTATACTCATTGTAGGCAAAATCGGTGTGCATGAATTCATGATCAAACGCCAATCAAAAGCCGTCGCTCCACGAGATCAGCGACAAGCTCGTGACCATGGGCTACCATCTGCTGCTGAGGGCGACAGCCTTGGATGTTCTCCACCTGCATATGGTCGTGAATTACGAATAGCGGTCCGTCGTCAACAACTTAGTATTCGGCTCAACGTTGGAGCGATCAAGGTAGTGTAAATCTAGTACTAGTACTGTCTGACAACATGGACGACCGAACAATCAAACATAACGATGATGATGATGATGATGATGATGATGATGATGAATTGCCTACCTCCATCTTGCGTAGATGCTCTAACTTGTCATGAATTGGGGAGAGCAGGGGCCCATTTGACAAGCCTCGGTTAGGCACAAAAATCGTAAGGCGCTAGGCGATTATTGCACCTAACAGCGGAGGTACCTTACTGCACCTAATGCCTTCCACCTTCCCGTTTTTTGCTCTTCCGCTCCGCTTATATGCCGAACCCAGTGCGGTTTCTCCGCGGAGGTTCAAATCCAGTGCAGTGTTATTTGGCTTCATTTTCGACTCAGACATTTCTTGAGAGCTTAGCGGAGCGTTGCGGCAGTGAAATCACCTCAGTAACGGGAGACTATGCAAACCTGGAACGCACCGCGAAGAGCACACAATCTGCACGTGCATACGCACACATGCGTGCAAGAAATGTGTGCGGCCATCCCACGGAACTTAGCCTAACAATTCCTTGTTTCCATGTGGAGCAGCAATGCACGACTGGCCTGATGCGCTTTGACCACACCCACCCGACCCGGGGGATGTGTGCTATCGGTGTGCAACAAGTAAGACCTAGTTCGCACCATCCGGTCCCTGCCGGTGAACCGCAAAAATCTAAGGAGAGTGTAAGTTTTCTAAGGAGGTCTGCATTTCCCAAGGAAGCCGGAAAAATCTAAGGATGACGCGAAGATTTCTAAGGAGGTCTGCAAAGTCTAAGGATGGTAGCGTCATACCTAAGGAAGGGCGGCACGGCTTTTACAGGCGGTGCAAGCTCATCCAAACGTAGCTCTACCATAAAGCCTCTATGCAATCTGCACAATGTGTTGTGTAATATGCGATGTGGGGCCGAGTCATCAGCGGCCGCGTTTGTTGTGGCATATCAGCCCGAGGAAAGCAAGACCGTTGGCAAGAGAGCGGCGAGCCCAGGCATCATGGGTAGTAGGCGGTCGAAGCGTCATAGAAGAGAGCCATCCCGCTATCGTGGCTTCATAAAGCTGTGATTACAGCTTAATTTACCAAGTGTGCGGGAAAGAAGTCCCGTCTTCAACACACTGTCGGCTTACTCGCCGATTTAGTTATTCGGATACGGGCATCCTAAGCATACGTAGAGCGATGCATCAATAACCCCAGTCTTAGAAGAGAAATCTTGTTGAAAGTTAGACCGGTTTTTGCCGGGTGGGAGGGGGTGTGAGAGGCTCTCACTGAGAGCATCACAAGTTGTAGAGTAACAACCAGCGAGTGCAACACTTATCGGGGATAGGAACCGCCAAAAGAACCTTGGCGGGGAAAGTTCCCCTGCAAGCACTCAGGCTGAGTGACTCAGCAAAAGAATTACTTCGATGCCGGGGCCAGGCTATAACTGGAAAAGGCTACAGGAGGGAAACTCGTGATTAAAACCGTCATCCGGGTGAGAGCTGATATCCGGGTTAAGGCTGTTATCCGGGTGAGAGCTGATATCCGGGTTAAGACTGTTATCCAAGGCCTCAGAAAAAAAACGCCAATCGCAAGGCAAGAGCGTAACCTCCGTGAACCCGAAACCCGACTCAGGTCTCCCCTCGGGCGACCATCACCCAAAACCCGGGGAGATGGCTGTGTGAGAGCTGAGAGGGTTCCTTAGGAAAAAAACGGAACTCCCTTATGAAGTGCCGAACCTCCCTTAGAAAAACGCAGAGGACGAGCGAAAACGTTTCCTTAGAATTCTTACACTCTCCTTAGAAAAATGATATAGATGGGTCCCTGCCACATAGAACCTTCGGCGCATGCGCAGGTCATGGGTTTCCCGATTGCCGATCTACAGATTAGACAATGAGACTACTAGTCTGAGACTAGTGGCAACGTTGAACCGTGCTTGATTGGCAATCTCGCGCACACTTGGAAATCCAGCCTTCGCTGAATGGCGCCCCGGTTCTCCAATCCCACACTCTCGAGTCGGAGGGGCTTTCATGTTGCTATGTGAGCATAATTGTAGCAGAACACGTATATGTCGTTCGCCATGCTGATCGATTACAGACGCTTGAATTCTCCACCATTCCATTGAATCCATGGTATACCGTTAGTTACGGTCCGTAACTTATAATGTTGCCTATACTGGCCATAAGCAATAATCAGCCCCATCATGGGGCTGATTATGGCTTATGGCCAACAGTACGCCGTAACGGCGTACAGTTGGTCGCAGCAGATTTCGACGCCGAACACAATGCGAGTGAACACTACATATCATAAACCTAAGTTAAAGTCCGGTACTGGTCCAGTACTACTGGACGTAGTTCCTCGCGCTCGAGGACAAAACCAGCTTCCGCAGTTGCTTATAAAGGTTTTGGTAGGCCTTTAGACTCGGCGGGCAGCGGACTCTCGCTCGGAGATTCCTCGGTGGCTGAGACTTGGTCTGCCATTGTGAAAATTCCACCCCGCTGTGAAATCGACCCACTGCAGAGACTTTTTCAGTGAGAACCGAAATTCGGACCATACATCACTCAGTGACGGTCACTGGCACCATTTTCTCAATACCATTCAGGCTTTCGATTGAAACCAATCGATTACTGTGCTGGGAACAGTCATAAAGTTGATCCGCATTCCTAGCATGTTTCAGAGTCAGTATCTGGAGTCTTTTATATTGCGAGTATCTCGCGGCGAGACATGATTCCAAGGCTACTCACTGTTTCACGGTAGATCAGGCAAAGCTTTTTCTTGGGGTGGACTACCTCAATACTCAACTATAGTAATACAGTAACACGGTGTTACTAACACCGATCGGAGATGGACAGCCGAGAGTTGGAACTCGTTCGGTCCCTGAACAGTTGGGAACGTAGGGCTCAGTGATAAGTTTATCGGTCATTATGGGGGCTCTTCTGAGCTGGGTGAATACTAGAGATAGATCGGATACGTACGACATCGCAGACAAGAAGTACTTGCCCACTTCATTGATAAATAACGCAACTTGTTACCGACAACATGACTCACTTAGTTACATGATTTTGTGTTGCCTGAAGAAGGTCCTCAGACTGTGCCTGAATAAAGCAGCTTGACATCGTGTATCACCGTGACGAAGACTGCTTACACTTGGTATGCAGCAACAGCCGCGTAGATCACCATCTGCAGCAAGGCTGCCCACATGACTCGACTATTTACCGTCTCGGAGGCGTTACGAAAGGTCTGAGAGAGGAAGCCTTAGTGAAAGTCGGCACAGTTAGCGGATACCTCCTCTTGATCGCCCTCGTATTCGTTCTCTGATACTATGCCTGACACTTTGCCGATCAAACCCTTCACTTTGGAGGCTCTGAAACAACTTATAGCAGAGATCTTGGAGATGATAGCACTGATCTCAGCAGGAGCGAGACGCACACAACTTCAAGAGAATTAGGTGGCCCTTCGAGGGCCGCATTACGTCGTTCTCAATCCCTCACCGGTTGCTGCGTCTACAGCACCGAAGGGCATCGCGTTTTCAAGGTCTGCCTCGTCGAGGACGTCGAGCGTGAGGCTCCATTTGGTTCTGGAAAAGAGCAAATATCGCCGACAGTAACAGGTCTTGTCATGTTCATCATCGACTCGGACCATCCGCGATGGTACTTCGCCTTGCTTGCCAGCTGGGCTTTCCATCTACGACCAACTTCTTCGAGGCACATCGTACAAAGTTCGTATTCACCACCTGAATCTCTGAGTATCAGCCGACCTGACCCATGAGCCTACCGATCTTAGGCGAAAAGGCCACTATACCAGATTGCTGCGAGGTGGGTAGTGATCTAATGATCGGGTGAACTGACGTCGCTGCGTCTCCATCGTCGTCGAGGTACCGAGCCTCCAAGCGGATCTCACACCTGGACCAACACATGATTTGTCCGTCAGCCTCACGATGAATTTGACCCAATAAGGATCCCATCAACCAGAAAGTTGTGGAAGGGGAGAAAAACACACACCTATCACTCGTCCGTGTGGATGTTCTCGTTCGTATTGGGTTAATTACTGCACGCCGAATCATTGATATTGATATTCCTTGTTCACAAATCGGCACCCAATTTTTTCCTCACCGAGATGGACTCAGTTCATCAAAAGTGAGAAAATCGTTGTAATCACCGAAAGGGCGACGATCGTTGCGCAACGTGATATGGTCTTACTGTAATCCAAAATCGCCGTCATCGGCTCCTTCGATCATCAAACGTGTAATCTTGGTGTACTTGATGGCTATGGCCACGTGTGCCGCTATATGCTGACTGATAACGATAATACATCGTCAAACTCACACTGGGAGGTGCTCTACACATACTGGAAGCACATCTGCTGGCCGGGAAGAGTGTAGAAATGGAGACCCAGAACTTGAAATAAGAAAATGATGACACCAATTAGACGAGGCAGAATCACTGACATTATCGATGAGCAGGACAACCTCTGGTACGCGAGGGGAAGTACGAAAGGGCCGAGATAACAGACATGAAGAGTCACCCGAGGGCATTGGATCCTATGAGTAACGATTACGTGGAGAATACGATGGAATAAGCGGCTTATTATAAGCCCCTTGCGCCCTAAAAGTACTCACTCATTCGAAGGGTGTATGCCACGAGTATACGGTCCGGCGGGCCGATAACTATCCATTATTGAGAAGTATCATATCAATCAACGGCGTAGTATCGTTGAAAGAATGTGTATATCGCGTTGATGCTACTGTACAACATTTACATAAACCTCAACACCTATATTGGATCATTTAGAGGAACATTTTCCACTACATAGCGAGGGTTGGCCTGAATATCGGCATTGAACATAGCAAGAACAGAACTTAGTTGTCAACTAAGTTATGTTCTTCTGTTCTTCGTCAGGCGCTCAATGAGCGCCTCAGTCAATAACCCCAATCAGAATAACCATTCTGAATCTCGTGTGCATTTACCTTGTTTCTAACTCGTCAGCATCCAGGTAGTGGGCACTTCTATCATTATTACAAAAGGGCCGACTACCGCAGTCAGGCCGGGAGCTTGGCCCAGCACAGGAGTCAACAGTGACATCACCGGCGGGCCAACTTAGGGAGTCTCCGACTGTTTCCGTCCTTCCATTTCGCAACTACCTCAGAGATTAGCCTTTCTGTTGGGAATCGCCAAGGCGCTGCCTCGCGGGGTCGGGGTTGCCGAAGGGGGGCCTACTACAGCTCTACAAGACTGGGACCTCTCACGTGTTTACCACACTCTATAATCACTATGCTACACTACAGGCGATTTCTACACACGCTACTGCGTTCAAGCCACACGAACATATGCGAAGCTCCCGATAAAACGAATATTACACAGTGTGCGTTTGTGGAATCCCCGAGGGTGTTCAAGAAGATGTGGTATGAGATTTGTACGCGTGCACAATTCTGTCCCGTTATGTATGTTGCTAATAGTGTCCTTGCTTCCCGTCTGCATAAGACCGTGGAAGTGGAACTAAGAACTGTTCTTGAGATTTTGTAACCGACGACCCGCTCACCTTTAACAACATATCACCATCGGCATGGGAAGGAAGTGCAGACGCGCATGTCTTCCGTGTCATCCGATCCAATGAGCAACGCCATCATCACCTCATCGGTCGCGGCGTCCAAGATAGATGCTCTGTCGAAGTACGTCGACTTGTACAGCGACTTGCCATCATTGCAGGAGGTTATCGATTATCATCACGTGAAGAGCCAAGCTGAGCACGTTCAGGTCGATTCCGCCGATCATGCGCTGTTGATGCCACTGCGTGGAGCATGCCTGAGTGGTAGGTAACTCCATCACAGTGGGGGGATAACTGCACCTGAAGGTGACCTGGAGGGGGCTCGGCTACTCCTGTCGAGATACCCTGCCGTTGCGGGAGCCCTTAAGAGCACTTTAGCGGTTCCTTCATTGCTCCTGTTGGCCGTCTCAAGCAGATGTGCCCCCCTAGTAGGAGATGTGCCCCAGTAGTGCCCATTCCCCACCGATGGCAGTCCCTTCTAGGTCGACCTGCTTTTACAACATCAGTTGTCCTCGCCACCAAGTGGATCGAGGGGACCTGTTCGTCTGTGGTCGAAAGAGACTCTAGGCGAGGCGATTATAACTGCATGTGTGCTCGGAGAGTCGGACATGGTTCGGTCGCTCGCTGGAGCCCGCCCTCCCATAGTAGATTATGAACACCCGGACAGACCGGAATCGACCCCTCTCACAACAGCGGTAGTCGGCAGCAACGCCGCTCGCTCGTCTACACCGTGTATCGTCCCTTAGGTGTGTTATGGTAATGTTGATACTGTCCGATCGTTGCTCGAGTTGTCGGCCTCGGTCATCGGGGGTCATCCGGAAGGCTGGACAGCGCTTCATATGGCGACTCATATGAACTCTGCGGAAATGGCGCACATGCTGCTTGAAGCTGTCCCTCGAGAAGAGTTGTCCATGGTGATCATTCCATATGGGGTATCGGGGTAGATCATCATCAGATTCCTGGCTTCCTCAACAATGCAAGTGCTGAGAGCGTCCATCCATCGGTCTTGCACGTTGCCATTCGTCGATGTAGTCTTGACCTAGTGCGACTCCTCTTGAGATACGGAGTAGCCCTTTCCCGTGTATGCGGGGTGATTTTGCAAAGCCGTCAGGCCGATCCAGTGGCCCCCTCGGGCCCTCATGGTTTGACTCCACTCATGACGGCATGCCAGAACATCAGAACAGGTATGGGAAATCACACCCACCGTTTCGCGTGATGCCGATCTCCGATCAGAAGAGGCGGAGGGTATCGTAGAGGAACTGTTGGGTATTGAATCAGTAGCGGCAGGGATCAACACTCCTTGTGAAGCATCAGGATCGATCTACCGAGGGTCCGAGTAGCCCTTGTCGGCATGCTCTATCACCAATGATGCTCCAGCTAGATACACAGCCCTTCATTTGGCAGCGGATTCGCACAGCAGTCTGCCGATCGTACGTTGCCTCCTTGCTCACGGTGCATCGCCGCTGATAAGGGCGAGAAATACTCCCAAGGGGTGAGTGTGCATCCTTGAGTGTCGCAACTCGGACTTGAGGAAGGTATGGTTTACTCCCTCTGGACCTAGCGTATGATACTCTTCGGTCATCAACCACCGAGACCGAATCTCCCGACGATCCGATTCTAACTGACATACAGATGGAGCTGACGCGATGCGGCTTATGCGGGGCGACTGGATCACCCATTGTAGACCGCTATTGATGCCGTCACCGACTATGTACGTTGAACGTTCTCCATTCCATCAGGTTTGCTTCCGGTGCCATGCTCAGCGTTACTGCACGGGAAGCTGTCAAAGAAAGCATTGGCCGCATCACAAGAGGATTTGCCAATTCGACTTTGCATGAGTATTTTTCATTTGATTTCGGTTTGGTTCGTCCCGAAGAGCTGTACACGAGTGCGTTAATTACGGGATGAACATAATATGTCGAGCATGTTGAGGTAGCGAGGTGAGTATCGCGGTTGGCTGACTCAGCCCGGCTGAGCCGCGATGACTATGTGGATTTGCGTTGTCACGAAGGCCACGAGCATGAAAACAAGTACACGAATGAGGCATTTGTGTTAGACATCATTCGTATTGCGGGAAGGAGCTACTACACTCGAGATCATACAGAGACAGTACAGATTGTACCATACTGTAATAGTAGCTGTATTCTACAGTTACTATTACACGATTACACTCCTCGCAAACAACTCCATGGATCTGTTATTTGTATTCTCAATTGGAGTAGACGGAGCTTATCAGTATAGCACTCTGATCAGTTGAATCCTCCTATTATTGCACACAGCCTTCTGTTCTCGACTCGGTTTGCTATGCTACTATCGTACATTCCTTTTATGCTAAGAAAGAAAGTCTGACCAACCCAACAGGCAACCACTGATACTGAATTGCCGGGAGAAAATTGAGCTGCTGGTAGACATCCCATTGTAGTACATAGTCTTCAATCTGGCAATAGCGCTGTGGTGCCTTGTCGCCTCAGTGAGACTCGTCGCCTTTTCCAGCAAAATCATCGATTCGCGGCGAGCCCCCTCATGGATGGCCTCATTTTGACTGATGATCGCAGTCATAGGCAGATGTGTACTTTCTGGCTGTATTACGTGCTCCAGTCAACCCAGATATATCAGGGCTCTTCGTCGTGTTGCTAACCGTTGCACATCACGCTCGCGACTACAAATGATGCGCAGGTATCGTTTTCTGTCTCCCGGCGCAAAGCTTGATATATCGTAGCGATGATGGCTACTAGCCACTGCCTGGCCTCAAGTATGGCTGTGGTAGAAGTAGATCAATCAGTGAATGTGTGCTTTGCTTACGAGTTTTGTCGCTTATTGGTGGATGGGGTATCCAATAGACTGCCGTTAGTTTTTTTCATCAACTGTAGAGATGCTTTCATTCACTTTGGCTCTGTTGGCCTCGGTTGGATTGGCTGGAGCCGTCCTGTCTGCACCTCGTGATCGTCTAGATCATGATCTCTGTACAGCTACTGCTGTTGATTGTGCCGCCACCGCTGATGGTGGGTGCATCGCTGCGACGAGTGCTGATGGAAGTCCTCTCGACTTCCGAATGGTTTATGTTCCACCGAAGACTTACGGACCTGGTGAGAAGAGGGCTGTCTACAAACAGTTCCAAAACTATCCGAGGATTGTTGATGCCTCTCGAGCCCCAAGTTATGCTCCCACCTCTCCCGACCAGAAGCCCAGTGTACCTATTGGGTATATTGACATGCCCGAAGGGACGACTTATGGCTATTGGGATGCCGCTTATGGTGTTATGAATGAAGCCGGTTTATCAATGGGTGAGAGCAGTTGCAGTGGTCGTTTGAGCTCCGTTCCGAAAGGAGATGGCCCGAACGGTAGCGGTGCCTTGTTCTGGGTGGGTGAATTGTCTGATATCGCTCTCGAGGTCTGCTC